GCATTCAGTTACATGCAACATTCAGTTAGATGATGCAGGAGGGAAGACAGTCTACTTATAAAGTGGGTGTCCAAAAATAATGTAAGTAGAACAAGAATTTCTATCTTAAAATTAGATTTTAAAACACTGTGCGCACGCGTGGACTGCGCATACCCATACGGCGTCTTTCGGCCACTCGGCTTTACTTTAAAGGTCCCCATACGGTGTCTTTCGGCTCATAAAAGTTAATGAATTTGCTAATTTATGTATGTCACAGTGTCTTACTTTCCCCAGTGGCGTGCCATCTACAGATGCAAGCAAAGCTTGGACTGTAGTCCCTACCTGTTGCTCATGATTTTGGTCACACAGATCATGGGATGTGACCTGGTTTTCTAAACAATCCACAATCACATTGGCTTTCTCATTCACACCATATATTATTCCTAAGGGCCATGAACAGTGGTTGGTGCCTTTGGTCCATCCCTCTTCATTAGCGATTTCACAACAGGCTTCAGAGCTTGAAGTGTGACCTCACAATTCCCTACTTTTGTTTGCCACCGTTCAACTTCTTTCTATGGGTCATTCATCAAATGGTTTTGGAAACCCAATTAATTGCCATTTTACATGCTGTATCCCAGGCTACTTCCCACAGTTTCCTTAACCACCTTTAATGTTTTAGCAAGCTCTCCAAGTCTGGTAGGTCCTTCTTTAGGTCCAAAAATGTAAGTTTGCTTGTGATAGCCTATACGCTGAAGCTGCAGAGCCAGTGGGGTCACAGGCAACTTTAACAGCTTCTTCCCCCAAGTTAATTTGGATTTTAGGTGAAATTAATTCAGAGGCCAAGCTTTGAAACTGCTCCCAATCTGTGAATTTGTCAACCAGGTCTGAAAGATTCCTAGTTCTAACATGATTCAGTAATTGGAAAACGATTGGTAGGTGATCTGGGCCCACAATGTCACAGACAATGATCTCTGATAGCTACACATTCTTGTATACAAGGATATCAAGCATGTCACCATTTCCTGCAGGACAGTAATGAGTGGGACATTGTGGTGTTGAAATTTCATACTCATTTATATGTAATAAATCCAGTAGTTTCACACCTGAAGGGTTGGAAACTAAGCTATTCCAAAACGAAGGTTTAGCATTCATATCTCCTGCCAGTAGTGACTTATGTCTAAAGCACAAGAGCTCAATGATACCTGCATTATTCCGGGTGTGGCGTGGTGACTTACAGACTGCTGCAAGTAGCACTTCACTATTACCAATCGGCATGCAAACCCCTGTGGCTTCTATTGAAACAAGTGGAGGCAGGTTTATATGGCTGTGGGGAATGTCACCAACTGCAACAGCAGTTACACCTTTTCTTCACAGGAAGTGGTCAGCTCGATAAAAGTGATAATCTGCAATAAGGAATCTCTCATGGGGTTTCAGATGTGTGTCTGAAAGCAGGCCCACATCTATATGTAAGTCTTGCAGCTGTTTACTGAATTCATAGCAATGTCTCCAAATGCCATTTGTCTTAAATGCTATGACTTTGAGCAGGCCCTAACTCTAGCAGCCATTTTGTTTCAATAAGTAACATTTTTGTAATGACCATTATTTTGTCCTTTTCTGACACAGCTTCACTGACCTCCATCATGATCTGTTGCACTACAATGGTAACTTTTAACATGGCACTGTTAGACAAATCAGGAACCTGTACTGTCAGACCTGTTTTCTTAATTTCCTGTTGTGGCGGATGCTGCTGCACAAGGATTTATCTGTTCTTACTTTCACCTAAGAAATTACAATGTATGAATAACACACTGGCATGGATTAAATTACACAATAAAACATGCCAAATACATCCCTCAGAAAATGTGAAATACTGACCTCTGGGAATGTATCCCCTAGAATCTCAACAACTGTGTTAACAAGTGTTGCAAAGAAACCAGGGTTAGCATTCAGCTTCTCAGCTGCATATCTCACAGCTCGTCGCAGAATGCGCCTTAACACATAGCTGAGGGGAAAAGAAAATAGACTTTCAATATGAAGAAAGATAAATACACAAACTTCTTATTAACAGAAACTTAACAAAACATACGCAAGGGCTAATTTCTGGTAAACCTTACATTTAAGCAAATTTAAAAAGGGAGAACTATCTCTGAGTTTAATTAGTCCAACATTTACCTGGAATCTCTAAGGAAAACAATAAATAACTTTAAGCAAAAACAGTTGATACCCAAACAAATTTAAACAGAGTGCCTCCCAGATACAAGTCAGACAAGATACTGTTAACATAGCCTGGTAAGCACAGTATACTACACACACCACAACAATAATAAAAGGCACTAACTTACCCTCGGCCAGTGTTACCAGGACGTCCTCCATCAGACAAAGCTATTGTCAGGGTTCGGGCATGGTCTGCCACCACACGATAAGCCATGTCAATGCCATTCACATCATCTTCACCAACATAACCTCTGTATGGTGGTACTCCTGTGCCCTAGAAGAACACACACCTGTGTACAAATCAATCATCACAAAAACTGTTCACATATTTTAAAATTTAATCAAGTGCCACTTATTTACTACAGTGTAAGTGAAGCAAATTAATTGCATTTACTCATTAACCCTTTAATGTCACAGCAGCTGTAGCAGTATCAAAAATACAGATGTCCAGCATACAGCCAGATCTGTCAATTTAAAGTCTCCACTTCCCTGCTTCTGTCACTAAATCCACACTTTGACAATGTACAAAGGTAATGTACTACAACAAAGTGCTTTCTGAAGATTCATGAACCTAGTAGCTACCTGTGTCCATTCATCAAATTTATGCATGTTTTGCTGTCTTAAAATTTACGAAAAATTAGGCTAAAGAAACTACACAAAGTTATGGAATGAATGATGTAAGACAAATTCTGTCTCACATCTACTGTACTAGTGTTTGGGGTCACATCACATGAGTACTGGTTCACTGTTTGGAATTCATGCAATGAATAAAATGGGCAGCACACCCCTGTCAGAAATTTTGAGTCGTGTAGTACAGGGTGGGGCGCAGAAACTTCCTTTTTGTGAAGACGCATTGTGAAGCGAGGGGAGGTCACGGAAAACTGGGGATAGTCTCGGCAAACGCAGCAGTCGCATAAGTTTCTGTCTAATACCCCTAAGTAGGAAACATGAGGTGGACGAGTGAGCAGCATGCGTTTGCTGTCGAAGCCTATTTTTCGAACCATTCCTACGTGGCGGTGCAGCGTGCATTCCGTACTCACTTCAGAATTAAGCCCAGAAGTCCGGTTCCTCACTGGAAATCAATTGTTTTGTGGGTAGAGAACTTAAGGACAACCGGGAGTGTGGTGAAAAAATCATCAGGATGATAACGGACAGTTATGATGCCAGAAAATGTGGAGGCAGTTCGACAGACGATTTTGAGATCTCCAAGACGCTCCGCTCGCAAACATGCGGTCGCCCTAGACATATCCAATCGTTCAATGCGCTGAATTCTTCACGAACATCTTCATTTCCATCTCTATAAGATGACTGTTGTGCAAGAATTGTCACCACGTGATTTCGAGAACCGAATAATAGCGTGCGAAACGTTATTGGAAACTTTACCCCCTGACACACTTTTTTTCTTTAGTGATGAAGCACATTTTCACATATTCATATATGTCAACAAGCAGAATATGCATTATTGGAGTGATGATAATCCCAGAGAGCTCCATGAGAGGCAACTTCACAGTGATAAGGTGACAGTATGGTGTGCATTGTCGAGAGTTGGAGTTATTGGCCCTTATTTTTTTGAAGAAGACAATCATGCAGTTACTGTCAATTCACAGCAGTATGTGGACATGATTAAAAACTTCTTCAAACCACCTCTTGAAGAAATGCATCTAGGAAATGTCTGGTACCAACAGGATGCTGCCATGGCCCCCACAGCCCGAGCTTTGATAACAGTTTTGAGAGCAAAGTTCCCCAGACAGCTCATCTCGCTTCGAGGTGACATCCCGTGGGCAGCGCACTCACCTGATCTAACACCCTGTAATTTTTTTTTATGGGGATACCTCAAGGCAGAGGTTTTTAACCTTTAAGGGATGGGGCATTTTAATTCCAGTAGTGGTAGCTGGACGGAGTTAATTTAAATGCCCGCCACTGTACAGTAATAAAAATTGTAATCATGTTACTCAAAATGCTGTGATTTCTACAATTTTTGTGATAAACGAAATAAACGCTGCTTTTATCTAGAAACAATATAGAATCAGATATTGTAATTTAAAGTTTTAGAATCTGTAAAAATTGTTACACTGATTCCAAAAAAAAAATTTTTTCCCAATTTTAAGCGTCTATCCACAAATATGCNTCACTGCATTCGCTTCTCTTATAAGCACTCTGCACATTCTAAATCGGTGACATTTATCAGCTGCCTATTAACTTCGGCTTTTCCGTGCGAAATGGGGCCATGGTGCATAGTTGAAATTGTGATGTTTTATAAGCGTTACGAATATAGGAGACCACTCGCCATCACTGGCCTACTTCCTGCTAATACAAGACAGATGTTGCGTGTGTGCGCTTTGCGTGGAAAACAGAGTTACATACAGACAAAGTGCATGAATTGCGACCTTGGACTCAGCATTCAGTTACAGGCAACATTCAGTTAGATGATGCAGGAGGGAAGACAGTCTACTTATAAAGTGGGTGTCCAAAAATAATGTAAGCAGAACAATTTCTATCTTAAAATTAGATTTTAAAACACTGTGCGCACGCGTGGACTGCGCATACCCATACGGTGTCTTTCGGCCACTTGGCTTTACTTTAAAGGTCCCCATACAGTGTCTTTAGGCTCATAAAGGTTAAACATCGCCACACAAACCTGCTTCAGCTGACGAATGTTATTCGGCACGAAGTAGCCCAAATTCTGGTGCACATGTTGGAATATGTAGAGGGGAACTTCAGAAAACGATTGCATCAGTGCATAGAGAAATTTTGTTTAAAACTGCACGATTTAAAACTTTAAAGTATGTCCTTTCATTAGCCAAATATCAATTTTGTCTATCAGCAATAATTTTTCTTTTATTCGCCTTAAAAAAAAGGGGAAGTTTCTGAGCCACACCCTGTATTATTTGATATAGTTTATAACATGATTCAAAATTGAGTTTTTGCAGTGTTCACAACAGCAAAACTTTCTAGTACCATCAATCAGACATCCAAATGTTGTTCTTGAAACTATTTATGTGAGTTTTCTCCCCTGATGAGCTATGAATTAAGATGGCATTCAGCACAGCCTCAGTTGTAGAAGAGAATTCTGTCAACATGTATGTTCTCTGGGAAGTATCAGTTTTATTTACTTAATAATTCTATCATTAGCCTCTGTATAGTATCATGTGATAAGATGATGATAAATAATGGATTGGAAAAGAAGTGGAAGGACCTGATAACTGCTCACTTTGAGTTATTAACACATCTATCTGCAGCAATTATGGAACCCATGAAAACCACAGCCATGACAGGGAGTCTCCAAGGCCAAGTCCTGGGGTATGCCTTCATTTTAGTTAACTTCCAGTGCACAATGTTTCTTTCTTTATCTATATACTGACCCAGTGCATGGAATTTTGGTGCTGGTCCATGCCTCCTTTCACTTTATATATAATACCTTTTTCAGTTGGAAGGGCTATTATAGCCCATATTATTTAGATCTGAGGTGATGAAAGATAACTGTAGCAATGTTCCTTGTGTAAGAGATCATTAGCATCCATACCTTGTTTCCCCAAACTGTCAAGTCATATTTCACCTGCATAACAGTGTGCGCACTTTTATTACAAATCCTTTTTGTTTTGTTGACCATACTGCTAAAAACACATTCTGTTGTTGTGTATTGCAATCACGTCATCCAAGAACAAATTTTCTGCACAGTAGTAAGGAGCAAGAAAAATTATTAAGGCATTCAAAATTCCCTGAGATTCATTGTGCTTCACAGATTTTCATTACTTCTGAAGAAAAAAAAATCCAGTATATGGAGAAACCAAGCTCTTCTCACAATATCTGAGAACAACACAGTACAACATAATACTTTGTTATCTGATCAGTAATATGACAGATGGCCAAAATTGAATGTTAGAACTCCAGCTCCATACTCAGGAAGTCCCAGGTTCAAATTTCAGCCCAAGACCCTATTCTGACTCAACAGTTCTCCTAGTCCCTACAGACAAATACTTTAGACTGGACCACAACTGCTTTCTTCCATTTCATTTCTACTTCCTTATTCATTAATCAATCACTCGACACTATAAAATCTAATTGATTGAAAGCTGATAGCTGAACAAAAAAAATATATAAATAAAATAAATAACAACTTTCCTTAACATGAACAAAAATGCTGATGGCTGTTGGTCAAATATCTCTTGGCCAATCATATACATAGATACAGCTGATAAAGGGGTACAAGAGAAGATATTCCTGCTTTGCAGCATAGTCTTGCATAGACTGGCCTGAGAGATTTTATCTAAGAAACACTAAAGAAACAGAATTCATTATTGATAAGAATGATAGAGGAAAGGGACTGCAAGGGGAAAAAAGTTGACAGGGTCGGCCATGGGCCAAGAATAATGTAACCCTGATATTCACATTGTTTTACAACAGATACTTACATTATTTTATGTT